AGAAAAGACGTGCAGTTCCGGTTGACCCACACTTTGATAAAAGTAAAAGTCGTAGTAACATCCTAATCTTACTTTCCTCCTTTCTTTGTTCTTAATTTGCCAAAACTTAAGCTTAAGTGCCAGTAAAATTGTTTTGTTGTTAACATCAGAACTGACGTTTTACTGTTCTTTATAAGTAATCTGTCGATGTGAACTGAAATTAGGACACGGGTTTTATCTCATTGAACTCAGACGCTTGTTACAGGAATGACCACAATCAAGTGTAACTTAAGATCTGTTCAATTTGTGTTGTTATGGATTAATTATGTATATCTGTTCTACCTTGACACTGTCCAGTACTAATATATCTTATAACTTCTTTCGCTGTTAATCTGTTTGGCCCAGACAACAGGACTCCAGCAAGGGATTGACCTCTCTTGTTTGATAAGGAACTCTTTGGGCTAAGAGCCCTGTTATTGGCTGGGCAGTTACATCCATTGATCTGTGATTGGTTGTAAACTGTCACGTGATGTTAGCATGATGTTATATTATTGGCTTGCTGTCTGCTGACGGGAGCCACAAACCCRACAGACTTCCTGATTGACTTCTGTTTGTTTTGTTGCTCAAGATTAAATCATTTGACGACCATACACGCAGACTTTCTCTGCATTTATTCCAACGTGTTTCTGCATTCTTGGTAAACCATTTCCACGACAGTGTAAATAAATGATTGCATAGTCTTTTATGAATCAACTTGAACTTGTCTGAACATTCACTTATTGTTTCACTTTTCACTTCGCACAGTCAAGATATTAACAAGTAATGAGAAATGCCTTGGTAAAAGTTTCCTCAAAACCTTGTGTATGAGAGATGTGGGAAATCTTAATTCACCTTAAGCTCACTCTTACACATATGGTGAGAAAATRTGAAAATATAATTTCCTTATCCTTTATTTGCTGATGAAATTCAACTCCATTTTTCATTAAAGGTTGACCAAATTAATTCTCTACATGAGCTCCTCATTTGTCTGGATGCTATAAGAGACTACAGGTCTCTTATAGCCTTATATGTCCTTTCAGTTGCAAAGCTAGAGATGCTTTTTTTTCTTCAATTACTGTCTCTGCTCGAAACCGTTTGCAGGCTGTTTAAAGTGCTGCAGCTAGACTGCAGGTCAAACAAGCACACTCCTATAACTCTACTGTTACATTCACTCCATTGGCTTCCTGTGGAGTTCAGAATAAAATTCTCACAATCACTTACAGAGCATTACATGGCCAGGCTCCCACTTACATAGCAGATCTACTTTATACATAATGTACCCTCACGCACGCTTAGATCCAGTAATTCAAATCAACTACTCGTTCCTTGATCCCAACTAAAGACACTGGGGATAGAGCATTTCAGTTTGCAGCTCCTAACTCTTGGAATGCATTACCGCAATCTCTAAGAGCTGTGGTTTCAGAACTCACCTTTGTAAGCAGGTTTTTAATGTGTTTTATGTTGTCTTATTAATGTTTGTATCATTTGTAAATGTATTTTTATATGTTTTGTTGTGTTTTAATGTGAAGTTTTATTGTGAAGCACTTTATGGCTACTTGACTGTGAAAAGTGTTATACAAATAAAGTTACTTACTTACTTACTTACTTACTTACTTACTTACTTACTTATTTTGAAATTGCATCAAAACATCCAATTAAACCAGGTCTCTCTTGGACAAATAAAAAAATGAATTCCCTTCTGGGATCAATAAAGTACTTTTGAATTAAATTGAATTGAATATCTCATGCTTTGTTACTAAAACCTGGTCATTTTACATACAGTATATCATAGCTCTGACACATTTTCTTATGAGCTTCAATTCGTCTCAGTATGATTATCCCGCATCAACCAAATAAGACTAGTGTACATATTTGAAAAAAAATGTTTGCAAAACCTAAAGAATATTCCTGTCATTCATACTTTGCAATACTCCGTACATATTTTGTTCAATGATTTTAGTTTTTTCTCCAACCGAAAAAGGAAAGTCATTGATTATTGACCCATGTAATGAAACTCTAAATTATTCAACACCGTATGGTCTGTCAATTTGATCGTATCACATGAGCTCAAGCAGGGCATCTGTGGATAAGGCCCCCCTAAACACGGGCATATGGTTGTGCTGGCTTCATTGTTTTTGCACATAATAGGCCACTGCTGGCAGGTAACACCCACCCGCTGACGCATCATTGAGGTCTTTCAATAATAAGGGGATTGTGAGGATTTTTTGTTCATTTTTAGCAGTTTTGACTCATGCAGTTTTTTTCATGTTTTTGTTTTCTTGCCTCGGGCATCAGCCATGCAGCAGGCTGAGCAATTGGTGTGAAACACTGAAAGATGGAGACACACTGTTTGAAGCGCCGTATGTCAGCAACAAATGGATCCATGTTGCTCTCAGGTCACGCTTTTATGATTTCTGTTTAAAAAAGAAATGTTTTGAGCACATCATAATGTCCATGCATGTCTTGGGGAATATTTACTTCATTATTTGCATTAGAAATGCTGGATCTCCTATGTGTCACATCATTTAGCTCAACTCTGCTGAATGCAGCATCTCTTGGCTTTTTGTCAGCTTTTCATTAGATCTATTTTTAGATGTATTATGCCAATGCATGCGTAAATGTACAATGTATAAATAGTTTTGGATATTTACATGAATTTATAAAGATTTTTTGGGTCATCAACCAGATTTTACACAACAGCACAGAGACCAATAAAGACATGGTCACATCCTGATTTGCATCTGAAGTTTTGCAAACACTACATCTTAAAGGTAAAATTTCTAAATAGCAATAACAGCAAAGATGCTGTGAGATGAGGCCTCCAGCAGCTCCCTTGTGTCTGTCATGCCATCTAATTAGCGCACATTTAGAGGTTGTTCTGACATACTTTGTCTGAGCCCACACTGCATCTTGTTGGAACAAACAGCCACTATTGGTTGTAATCATGAAAACAGACTTCCCTGTGCCGCACCCTAACTCGCACCCTGTCAGATGTTTTACACATGTCTGTGGAGGTAATGAAGCTTACATCAAAGACAATTAGTAAATCTGTATTACCAAGCAAAGTCTGAGCTACTGCTATGGCTGTTATTGCTTCTAATTCGGTTAATTAGTGTAAACTCCAGTGACTAATACCCAATTAACTTGTGAGCAGGGGAAACAGAACCAATGACTTTTTAGTGAGATTAGCTCTTAGCCTTTCAGTGCAGAGGTTGGGAAGAAGGATCAGTGAGGTATCTCGGTGTTAGTGTGTTTGATTGTTTTCAATTTGTATTTTTTTAATATCCAATTGYTCCAGACCAGCGAAAGTTCTGCTTTTAGAGAGGTTGTCACACTTGCTGATTATCAGTGGGTGAAGTGGGTTTAAACACCGTTTGACTGCAACTTAACCATAATAATTCCAGTGGAGCACAAAATGTGTACTTAGACTTTTGTACACTATTTTAGTTTAGACTGAACCCCTTGTCTTGGTGCGAGGTACCGAGCTGTGTTAAACTGGGCCATCTGATGAAAATGACTATTTCRAAAGTAAGATCAAGGATGATTTGAGCACCAAATGCAGACTTTATAATAGTCTCCTTTTTATCTTTTTTTTATATTTAGTGGTAGTGAAACGCCTCAAAGGCAATTACCAAAATTATTCCTCATAAAAGGGTCAGGTAATGAAAAACTAGATTACAAGATATTCAGGCAGGAAAAAAATACAACATAAAAGTAAAGGATGGCTGAAGACTTGCACATTATTGTAGCTTTTGTGTAAAGTTTGGCGCGACAATTCTGGTCACGTCCAGAAGTGGCTGCAGTTCCAAGAGATGCAACTGGCTTTGCTTGCTGTACATGTTTCACTTTGTGCTCCACCTGTTCCTTTGCCCAAAGATCACACTACTTTTGTTGCAGGATCCTTGCTTCCAAACAAACAAGGACAGATGTGCACCCACACAAACACATACAAACGCATACAACTGGAATACACATATTTAATGGCAAAGTTTCCCATCCTAACCTCTAGCAGCTGTGACAACAGGAGGTTATAAAGTAAAATAAATTAACAACATCTGCAGACRGCAGATTAATGGGGGRAATCATCTGYAAATTAGGCRCCAAGCTTACTTTATTCAGCTGCTYGCTCAGACACTGTGGAAAGAGAAAGAAAAAGGGAGGATCGTCAGGAAGTCAGTTCATCTGGTCACATTCTTCATTTTAGGCATTTTTTAATTTAGTGGGCTGTATTTTTTTCCAATGAAGGGTAAATATTTCATGCATGTGTTTAAATTTGTCATATTTACGTTGTAGYTTATATTTTTGTAGTTTATAGTTTAGTTTCTCCACTTCAAAAAGCGGGGTCGGAGGGTGTGTTCCTATTAAAGGGGCATCCGTCTCCTTAGCCTCCCTGGTAAGGTCTATTCAGTGGTGCTGAAGCAGAGAGTTTGATCGATGTACAATTCAAGTTCGCTGTGGATTTTTACCCCCATTAGGGTCCTTGAGTGGTCATGTTAGTCATGGAAGCCCATCATGTCCACATRTGCTTTGTGGACTTGGAGATGCTCCTCGAGGTACACAGTGAGGGGTGCTCCATATGGGATTGGGGGTCTGTTGTTACAGGCCATTCAGTCCCARTACAAGTGGTGCAAGAGTTTGGTTCRCATTGCCGGCAGTAATTCGGACCCCTTCAGAGTGGGAGATGGACTCCACCAGGGCTGCCCGCTGTCGTTGATTCTGTTTAGAGCTTTWATGGACAGAATTTCTTGGTACAGCCAGGGTGTGGAGGGAGTCTGGTTCAGCGGTTTCAGGATTCCATCTCTGCACATGTTGCACATTTGCACATGATGTGGTCCTGCTCTGCCTTGATCTTCAATTCTCACTGGAGTCATTCACAGCAGAGTGTGAATCAGCTGGGTAACAAGAACCCAGATTGTGTCAGAACAATGGAACCAAGAACCAGGACAACTGATAGGTAAAAGTTAAGTGATCTTTATTTACAGGTGTGGTCTGGAGGTCCAAGGATGAGGAGGGAAGTGAGGAGAGACAGGTGAGTCCAGAGTATGATACTTGATAATGAGGATAATTCTGAGTTTGATTAGTTTCTGTTTTCTTACAGGTTTTGTCCAGAGAGGTGGTGTAGACTYAGAGGATTCAATGAGGTGGCGTGGACCCAGAGGAGCAAAATAGGTGAGTACGAAGGTGAATGTTTGGTTCCTTGTTTTCCTTTGGCTTGGCAGCCAGGGCACGAAAAACCAGGCAAGCTTGAGGATTTTGTGGTAATTTGAGGTGTGCTTGGTCAATRACCTGAATGGAGTAAAAAGGGTTATATTGAACTTGGAAAGATAAACAGTGGTTCGCTTTAGCTACTACCATAGTAGTGATGATGCGTCCGTGAAGACGAAATGCAGCGTGAGCCCTTAAGAAGGGAGTGGAGCTCGTCAGAAGGATCAGGTGAAGCTGCTGCCAATCAGCCAGGAACACGAACATCAAAACACCAGTCATCACACTGGGATGACGATCAGCACCTCCAAATCTGAGTTCGTGATCCTCAKTCACAAAACGGTGGACTGCTCTCTTTGATTTTGGGGTGAGGTTCTGCTTTATTTACAAARCAAAAAAGAAAAAGAGCTACAAGCACACCAATAGACCATGGACCATGTGTTGTTTTGGGATTTTGTTCACAAGTGAGGGAAGACTGATTCGTAAGCTTGACAGAAGGACTGGTGCAGCTTACTGCTTCTGCAGCATTTTGGACTCTGTACAGGTCTGTTGTGGTGAAGATGGAGCTGAGCTGTAAGGCAAAACTGTTTGTTTGTCTACGTTCCAACCCTCACCTATRGCCGCAACATTTGGGTAGTGACCAAAAGAACAAGATCGCAGATRCAAGTGGTCAAAATGAGTTTTCTCTGCAGGGTAGCTGGACTCTCCCTTAAGGCAGTAGCTTGCTGCATCACTGCTGAAATCAGACTGAACTTTTGCAGTTTCATGACAAAAACTGCATCATTCTGCTTGCATTGTCGACAATTCAGCACCTCCTTGTCACAGTCCGTGGGTCGAGCWTTTTACCCCCMTCCACATAAGAAAACATAAGCACTTTATTGTGTGATTGGTCAAATGTTTGTGGGAGTGTTTGTGCTGAAAGCACTCAGATGCTGCATTTTGCTTCAACCACTTGCTTCAAAAAAAACCTCTCCAGAAGCTGTTGAATCGGGAAACAGCAGTTTATAAAAAATAGTCAAAYGGCCAAAAATTCATGAAAGGAGACAAAAACAGATGTTTTGCACAGTAGAATCAGACTGATAAAAACTTCGGAGCTTAATCTGGGACCGGATTTGTGGATGCACAAAGTCGGGTGACGATTCTCAGACAATTTTTCTCCGCATTGTAGAYTCCATCAGGAAGGAACCCCATGCAGTGATGTCTGCTGCAGCAGGAGGGGTTTCCCTGGAACTCGGCATAGTGTATCTCAGGAGCTATGAAAGGTGCGCCCGAAAACAAACACCAAACAACCACGTGACAACGCGTTGTCCGGTYGGCTGCCGAGTGAACATACTGCATATTGCAACCATAAGGTGTTCCAGAGAGATTGGGTTAGKCATTCAGTTATCTGGGTGAGACTCAGAATAGAGCCACAGCTCCTTCACATTGAGAGGGGATAGTTGATGTGGTCCGGGTATCTGGTAAGGATGTATCCTGGACGCCTCCCTAAGGAGGTGCTTCAGGCATGTCCGACTGGGCAGAGAACCTGAGGAAGACCCAGGATTCACTTGAGACTTTGTCTCTTGACTGGCCTGGGAACTCCTGGCTGAAAGAAGTGGCTGGGGAAAGAGAGGTCTGAGCCTCCCTGTTCAAGCTGCCGCCCCCTACGACCCGACTCTGGAACAAGTGGTTGATGGATGGATGGATGGATGGATGGATGGATGGATGGATGGATGGATGGATGGATGGATGGATGGATGGATGGATGAAAAACTATTTGTAAAACTTGTCTCAGTGTATGACAGAAAAAAAAAATAATTGGATCATGTATTTTCTGAAAACGATCATTAATTCTTATTTTCTTTATGTCATATTTATACTTACTTGTCTGTATCACACTAGAATTATGTTAACACATCACATTAAAAAGTAAAATAAAATAYAATGTAAATAAAAGTAATTGAAAAACAAGGGAAAGAAGTGAATGAAATTCTTATTAAAACTTTGACTTGCTGAAAACTGAATTAAACTGTCATCATATTTTTAAATGTGAAACTACTTATTATCTTTCTCTCACTCTAAGCCTCCCCAACTCCTCACCCCAACTTCTTATTTCTGCCTTTTGTGCTCAATTCCAACTTCTGCTCAGTGAAAACCTGTCAAATGGGAGTCCGGAAACTGGAGGAGAGAGTAGTTATCCAGCCTTCATTTACTCCTTCACGATGATGAATTGAAATCTCATGTGCAAATTTGACATATCACCATAGTGAATGAATACAATTGTTATGCTTGTGTGAGGAATTTCAGCATTATATATATATGCAAATTCATCAGTGGACCTGTAAAACTTGATTGAGGTCACACTGTCTCACAGTAATGCATATCCAAATGCGGTCAATTATTCAGTTTTATTGATTCTGCTTCAGCGTCTTTATTAGTCGCCATATAATGTCCCTCTCCTGACTTGGCCTGTGAAAATGAGCTACAAGCACAGCAATGGACTATGGCCAGGCAATACCTTCATGAAGAATGGGCAAGTAGCAGGGGGCCAAGCCATTACCACCGCACAAATTGACTTTGCTTGACAAGATCATTTTCAAATTAGCACCAAGAGAGATGTTCTTCCATTTTTTATTATTATTTTTTGATGAGTAAAAACGAAGAGAAAATCATACATAAGATTTTAGGATATGTCAAGTATAGACAAATGAATGATTAAACAGAATCCTCTTCATTGAAGATAATTTTAAATTGTATAAAAAGCCTTTAGTAGATAAAGTATTCAATGTTTGTTTAATGGACTAATGGACAGACTCACAATGATTGTTTTGAAGGTCCAGTATCTACCAGTACATTTCTGACAATACACTGCATAGGTAAACATTATTAGTGGTTTTCAACTTGTTTCTCTACATTAATGACAGAGCTGTAATCAGCAGTACACTAAGATTATTCCATTAACCTTTGACGTAGCTAACATTCATTTAGGGGATATTTCAACGCACCATCATTGGCAATAATCTTTGCTCTACATCTAATTAAAGCAGGTAAGAAACAAGTTAATGAAATGCATCCTGAGCATATTGATTCAACAGGACAAGCTTTTTTTAATCACAGATGTCATGCTGATGAACAGAACACAGCCCAAAGTCGACCTGTCAGTTCAGTTTCAGGCAGTCTGCTGCGCCTGCACTGATTGGATTTTCTTCTACTGCAGATGTTCTTTTCTTTCTTTTTTTTTCTAAAGAATTTTTGGCTCAACACTCTGGACAAACTTGATTTTAATTTAAATTTGTTTTTCCTCTAATGAACAGTAGTTTCTGGTCTATTTTTTTTTTCACGGCTAGTGGGAATACAACAAGGAAAAAGCAAAAAAGCTTTTTCCTTCAGGCAGGAAGCCAAAGCATTCAAATTGGTCCAGAAAAAAAATGCAGCCAAGAAAACTTCTACCTTCTCACTGTAGGCCTTGTGGAGTTCTATTAAATTTGGTCTGTTGTTGCTCCCTCTTTCCACCAGCTCCCCTCATTATTCGTCTTGCCTAACTCTGCCCTCATTTTTCACTGCCCTGCACTTTTCAAATCAGGTTAGCTTTGAATGAATTGATTGATGCTCATGAGCCATCGGAAGACTTTGATGAAAAGGAGGAACCTAAGAAACTGTATTTCCTTTGAGCACAAAACAAATTGCTGTGTTACATTTTAGCTCAAGTGTTTATTGATTCATGTGTGTGCTATGTGTTTGTCATTGAAGACTGTGTGTCTGCGGCATTTTATTGCAATTGTATGTAAATTTTAAAAAACTTTAAATAAACAAAAAATAATAATTATATATTTACTGTCAATATGGTCCTTAAGAATATGTAGTATTTCTACATTAAAGTTCATTATTAAAATTCATTATTTTTTCAGCCTGTAGCTTGTTAAATCAGCATTATTCTTGCTAGCACTTTTTAATAACTACATTCATATTTAGCATTACTTAATCACAAATAGTTAGTTAACATTAAGTTTTTGTTAATGTCGACAAAACAGTGAGGGGGCCACAAGTTTCTTTTCACCTGTGGAAATCAGACCGAAATAATAGTCATTTCAAACATTAACATGTTTGTTTTGCAGGTAATTAGTGTCTATGTGTAGAGCATTATTACATGTGTTACTCTATAACTTAAGTACATATTTTTTCTTAATTAATTTTGTTTTCAAGGTTAACTAACAATTTATTAATGATTAAGTAAAGCTATAAGGTATAGTTGTTATTTTTATTACATCTAATAGTGTCATGAAATGTTTAAATAGGTTTTTTTTTTGCAATTTTCAGACATGCACTTAAACATATATTGCATCTTATATAATTATGCTATTTTTACCTACTACACACACAAACCTATTTGTTTTGCATTGCATAAAATAATCAGAAAAAACACGTCATATGTCACAAAATTTAAAGTATTATTTAATTTGCAGATTCTTTGTTTTGTTTTTGTTTTGCATGTGTAATTTGTTTTATTTCAGTGGAAAAGGCAATTTCAGTCTGAAATGTCCTTTTCTGTTTTGTTCTCACTTTTTAAAAAAAATAGCTTCTGTTCATGCAGAATATTCAAGCTGCAGCTCAGATGCAGAAGTAGGCCCTCATGCTCCAAGTTGTTAATTTATACTGCTCAAACTCTATCCTGCTGAATTAGCAATGCTTCTTTCCACACTGCCTGTGGCCGTCTGTGGTGTTATATCTGTTTGACTGACTGCATACATTAACATACATGCCTTCACATACTCCATCGTGCAATGTGTGAGAGGACTCAAGTGTGTTGCAAATTAGATGCATACATGCATGTCAGAGGGGACCCTAACCCTCGCCTGAGCAGATCTCAGATGCTTGAATGCTGGCTTCAGTGTCTGGTAGCAGCTGTCTTGCCGTGTGCCCACATTGAAATGACAGGGTGGTTCCTCGTGTCATATCATTGTTATGCGTCAGCGCTCAGACACCAGTCTTCTGGCTCATCTGCAGACACTGAGGCCCGAGTAGCTGTCCCAAAAGAAGGGAGGCGTTCCAGAGATTAAAATGAGAATGTTGTTATCAAGCCAGGGCTAGAAGATATTGAATGTGTGTTTGTCCTTGCACAAATGTGCATGTGTGCGTTTGGAAAGCAGACTGTGTGTGCACTCCTGCATCACCTCTTTTGATATTTTGGGATGGTTTTTACAAAAGCTCAAGGCTAACAGTGGAATGAGCCAGAATATAAAGGCATTGATGTGCATTTCTATATTATTTTTCCTAAGGGCATAACAGTGTAATGAATATATTATGCTGTTATCTGAAGTCAGCAGTATTCGCTGATACATTTTGCCAAATGGAAATAAACAGTTTAATACATTTTTCACATTGAAAAAGTATGCATGCTGTGTGTGTGCGGTCCTGTCTTTTCTTTTTCTTTTTTTTTCAGGAGTAAAATGAAGCCTTCTTTCCGCAGACACTGAAAATGTTCCTCTTTCCTTTCAGAAATTTTTTACATAAAACGTATTTCGTCTTAAAAGATGTGACGTGCATTTTCATGCAAATGGGAGTCCGATGAAGAAGACATAATGGTGAAATGATGAGAAAAGGGACTGGACAAGGTGGCTAAATCTCTGAAAACTGGCCTTTCAGGAGGAAAAAGGACTGCAGACAGAGACACCAGGCAATTCATCAGAGGCTGAGGACGCTGTGATCCGAAGCAGCTGCGGGCATGCTAATGCTCTTCTCCCCACTGGGTATGTCACTCTTCTTCCTGATGTCAGTGCATGAGGAGACCAGCTGAATGTAACGAAGCCGATGTGCAGAGAAAATTATAGCATTTTTATTTTCCTTTAGGCAGTGTTCAACAATCTGTTTTGACAACTTTATTCTATTACAGAATTTTAACTTTCATTTATGCACTGTAGGTTTGCTGGGTTGACATGCCTCAGCCATACTCTCCATCACCCAGTCACACCATTCCTGTAGGCAAAAGTCTGTCACTTTACTCAGAGCTCAAAGCATCATGCTATAGTTTATCACTGGTGACATTTTATTGTGTTTTCATATAAGAATATACATATAGTTGCAAAAAATGACAAATATTGTGTAATGTTTTGTATACACTGTTGTAAGTAATCATATATATAT